GAGAAAAAAGGAATTCGACACCATAGAAAAGAAAAGAAAAGACAATTGAAGTTTCCCGCAATCCCTGTACCAACAGTAAAAGAAGAAGACAAAGAATTGAGAGCTGAATCAGAAGATAAAGAACTATCATCACTATCCTCGAGTTCTGAAGATGATGATGAAGCAACAGACGAAACCGTTGAAAGAAACTCCATAGATATCTCACCAGAAAGAAAGAAAGGATACAATACTATGAGATATATAACACTATATCCTGAAGAAATTACAGATGTCCCGAGAAACAATGACAAAGATACAAATGTCGTTCATCGATCAGGCAGAGCCACCACACCAAGACAACACAGATTCCTAACCATGTGGGTGGAAGAATCAACAGGAGGAATTCCGCAATACATACTGAATAAATACAAGGCCACATCGCTGAAACCACGCAAGCGAAATCATAAGAAAGCACACACAAAGAAGGAGAAGAAACATAAGAAAAAGCACACGAAAACTAAAGACAAACATCATAAAAAAGATGAAAGTAGAGAAAGTACAAAGAAGAAACATGGACAGAAATATAAAACACATCATAATACAAGATATACAAAGAAATATGTAACAAAACACACAACTACATACAAACCTAGCCGTGAACATCATTATACTTCCAAGAAACATAAAAGTAAACCAAGTTATGAGAAACTGAAACATAGCAACAGTAAGAAGATACAAAAACTGCAAGAGATCAAAGAGGATCCTCCAGGATTGTCTACAAAAAAAATTAACAACATATTCGGACCTGTGAGATTGGATGTTAAGTAAGTTTTGAGACATTATTTTTCATTATCAACAGCCACAAAACATTCACTGCTAAACATTAACATGTTACTAAATACAAAAATGCACGATTGCAAAAGTATGCTCCCCTGCGCTCCATTCGAATCCACCTCGCTTCAATGAAACATTAGGAGCATTGTTAAAATTAACACTGATCGCTTTTCACCGCTTCTCTCCACGTCAGTGGAAATGCGACCTTATGCTTCCTCCAATGCTTGAAACATTGGTTAAACACCATCTGTAGCCTAACTTTAATTGTCTCTACCATTATTACTCCTTTTGCATCCACCGTTGGATATTAAACATCTACAATCTAGCATGCAACTGGTCTCAAACTTAATTTACCTATTCGTATCTAAACAGAATTCTGAAACTCCATATTAATAAAACCTTAATCTGAAAGTCAAAACATGAACCACGTTGATGACAGTATACTTTTACTAACAAATTCTTTAACTTCCAGTCGGAACCTACTCCTAAACAAAATAACAGCAAGAACAACTTCGACATCGTCTCGACAACCACCCATTTTGCGGACAACACCCTCTTCACTAAACTCTGTAATAGAGAAGAATACAGATGAAATCCAACAATTGAATAAATCTCTCTCACCTTCCAATTCAACCATTACGCCAGGTGTAGGTCTGTCAATCCCAGCATCATTATCTCTCATTGCCGAAAGATTCAATATATTAAATAGGCCTCTAAAGTGGGATATGCGGAGAAACGCCGAACACCATCCACGGTCTGACGAAGGACTATCAATTGAAAATTTTGACAAAAAAAAGCAAGCGAGCTCAAGCAAGGAAGACCCGTTTGTGATGAAGCGTTTGCATCGATTAGAAAAGGAGCTAAAAGAAGTAAAAAATAGAATAAATACTGCCACAAAAAGGACGAAGAAAAGAGAATTAGGTAAAAGAAGTAAAGAGAACATAGAGAGAGCAGACAAACACAGAGAAAATGATACAGATAGTTACGACATAAGAAGTGTAGAACATGATAGAAGAAAACATCATAAAACTACAGAACTAACTACAACACGAAATAATATCAGGAATGAACAGCCGAAACATGCAAGCACTGTCAAAAAACCAGAATATCAAATCGAATACAAAATCGTCAAAGAAAAAGGCTCCGGTTTTAAAGAAATTATACTAAATCATAGATCTAAAGTAAGTGACAAAATAATACCAATTGAAAATCACGAAAAAGAGGTGAAGACACCAAGCGATGAAAGACAGGCGAAGTCACACAACAACCCGATACTAATTGAATTTTCGACAAAACTATTTCCAGTTATGACCACAAAAAAATCTACAACTACTGTAAAAACTACTGAAGTAGACTCTACAACGGCTACACACTTTACAGGCAAAGCTTTAAGAGATGTTACCACTACAAATAATCACGATATTAAAACCACCACAGTAGCTTCTGTTACAAGTGTTGCTACTGTAAGTACAGATAAAACTACCATTGTTCAAAGTAAATTTAAATCAATTGATATTGTTCCGAGTGATTTCAAAGTGCCTGACAAACATGTAGCGGCAGATCTCAATGTAAAGGTTACAACTAAAACAGTTAAACAACAAACTACTGAAAATAGAGGAAAAGATGCGATTGTGATGTTCAAAGGAGTAATAGAAAAATCCGGCAAAAGTGTCGCTCAAAATGAAGTTTAAGAATTATGTATGTGGGGGCTACCATTTCTTTGAACACCAGGTAGCACAAATGTAGGAACAGTGTTCTTCTAGCCAAGGATACACTAGGGTACAAATATCCTGCGACACGTGTCGCCAGCGACGTTGGGTGGAGTAGCGCGACGTTGCCGGACTTTGGTCGACATGTCTGGCAACTTCAACGTCGCTGTGGACGTATTATGTCGGGCGAAATCGGCCGGCGTCAATGGACATGTCGTGGGGCATTTGTCCCCTAGTATATCCTTGGCGTTATCTAATCACTGTAGCTGTCAAGAATTGAGTGACCAGTGGTGTGACACTAACTAATTCCCTGTTGGACGAAAAGACGAGAAGTTCACACTAGCGCCGTCTAGTGAACAAAACAACGGTAGCCCCCATTATATTGTTAATGAAATATGTTTTCTTGTATATTTTTGGGTTCATTATGTAATCGAAATTCATTATTTCTGCTATCGATGCATTTGTTTCTAGCAAACAATTTTATTGACACATTAAATAAAGATATAAATGAAATTTATTGTTTTCAATTTTCGATTTCTTTTAATGTTCCTTTTAAAAGTGACTTTTGGCTCACCAGGAGACAATTATGGCACTATCCCTGCCCGCCGGAACCGACTAAGGGACTACACTCGGACGGACGCCGACTCAAAAGCCTGTCCTGAACTAACTACTGAAGTCATTTAGTTTAATAGTTGCCTATAAAGTTATAATTTAACATTAGGGATTATTCTACACTGCAATGCTGTGTACAAGACGCTACCATGGAGCCGTAACGATGGCGGTACAGTGCCCATCATCGTGTAAATGGGCCCTTATTTTGATCGGAAATCACACGTACGACGCGTCGCGCAGCTGCCGGTTGCCCAACCCCTGCGCTGAACGCGCTACAAAAATACTGTATCAGATTTATGAATCGAACATGAACATTTACCGAGGAAGGTTATACGCCGTGGAATCTATTTCGTTCTCATCCCGCGACAAAACAACTTTATGTTTTTATTTTATACTACCTGTCTATAAAATAAAAACATAAAAATTAAGATGTAATTTTTATTTTAGTTTAAAAAATGTAGCGTGTAGCAACTTGGACCACCACCTTACAATGCGCGCAAAATCGCGGCCGCTTATGAGCTTGGGGCCGCGGTCTAAAATCATACAATGTTTTACTTACCTGCGTGCGCGCGGTGAGCGGAGGTACTGCATCTGTCTCACGTAGTCACGTCGACGACCGAAGCTATTGTACACGCGCTTAGACATTGCTTGCCTGCTTGTATTCATTTTATAATATATTATTTCTATCTTCTATTCAATAATACTATTCATTTCTCTGAGTTTCGTTTTTCATTTTACCTGTGCACAGTCAAGCTATAATGGACTCTAACATCCTAGCAATAGGAACTATTTTCCTGAATTAGTGGTTAACGTACAATTACCCACTACAAAAATATCATAGAAATACGCACATGAAACACTAAACCACAGAAATAAAAACAAACTTCTTTGCATTAGACGTTTTGTAGACAATATTCGCATCGCACGAGCCATCCGACGAGACATACATCTTATAGAATTACATGGCGTGATGTTTTGATAATGTAGGTACTATGAGTTCGTATGCGCTTTAGAAGTTTGCTTTTTACAATGGTTCATCAGTTATTTTTTGTTTTAAACATTTTATTTCTTTGTAAGACTATTGTATTGCCAAAACCGAACCATTACTTCGGGACGAAAACGAAATAGATTTCACGGTGTATGCTATAAAACCTCACGCTACGAAGAGTAGGAACCGAGCAGAGCAGGTACAACCGCGAGGGAATGGCTAGTATTCAGATAAATATTTGCATTCGTTTTTATTAAAACACATTCCAACTATATTGTTGTTGTCGTTGCGGTCAAAGACAGTTTATGAATAACTTTATAGATGGCGCTATATACCAACAATATGTCGACGCGAAACATGGCCGACTAACTTTATTTTATTACTCAATAATAATATAATATTTTACTGACATTACGTAACATGGGCCTCCCCCAATGTCATTCATATCGGCTGATTGAAACTACGTCCTTTATAAGGTCGTCTGAAGAACCAAGTACCTCGTCTATATCTATACATGTAATAAAACTGTAGAAGTGTAAATTCTGTACATTGAAAATATTACAAAAATAAATAGTGGGAGTGTTACTAGATAGACACCGAACCCAAGAAAGTGATTAAAAAGAAATTGTCTGTCTATCTGTATGTTCACGCATCACGTAAAACTACCAGTGCGTTTACGATGAAACTTGATGTGATTATACTTCAATATCCACACAAAATGTCTGCGTCGTTGGCCGAGTGGTCGCAATTGCGACTACCGGGCTCTTGCCCGGACCCCTTGATCTCGGGTTCAATTCCAGGGTCGGGCAAAGTATTACGGTTTTTTAAAAAAATTCTCAATAGTAAGTAGGCTCAGGCTCAGTAGTGGCAACAGGCTCACCCCCTATTATATGGGACTCATAACACACACAAATAGTGAAAAGTGGATGTTACTCCTGTGTGCACCTTTGCCTATCCCTTCGGGAATAAAAGGCGTGATGTTATGTTTATGTGTATAATCCACACTAAAAAACAAACTTAATTGTGCGGCTCAATTCATACACACAGTTACTGTACGAAACGCAAATATAAGTTTGTCAAATGTTAGGCTGCCCGCCGCTGTGGACTTTACGCTGTAACTGTAGTGCCGATGGTTGAAATTAGCTTGTAAACAATAAAACTCACGTATTCATAGTTTGTACAGGATTTTAATTCACTTGCAATGATTTATGTATGTATGTACGTGTGTGTATGAATGTGTGTGTGTGAAGTGGAATCTTGCAAGTATATTTTGAAGCAGATATCTTCAACCGATTGAGCTGACATTTTGTATACACGTTAAGTTTGCATGACAATAAACGCTTGGCTTGAAGACTTGTCGCAAGATTTAGGTATACCCGAGTAACTCGTAGGTAAACGGATGTATTTAGTCTGACCTGTTTATTTGTATGTTTAGTTCAAATTCTTTTATTTATTTGATTGGTCGATGTTTGTCCAATATCTCGCCTGGTGGTAAACTATGACGCGGTCTACGATGGAGCACGTCTTCCCATAAGCAACTTATTCACTCCGGCTTTGAAGACGCCCAGGTTTATAATCTTCAGGAAACACAGACTCTGGCAAAGAATTCAACTCCTTAACAGTTCACACAAGGAAGCGTGAAGCGAATTTCAATTTTTCCCCTATCCTGACGACAGATCGATCTGATAATTTTATTTGGTACACACTATTAACCATGATGACAATACAATATGAGCTAATTGTTTCCACAACTACCTCCATTACGGATATCCAACGAAAGGACTTGATTGGTAGAATAGAGGTCATTAAAGACATTTAACATAAAAAAATATTATGATTTGAATTTAGGTCTGCCTCGTTGGCCGAGTGGTCGCAAGTGCGACTGCCGGGCAAGGGGGTTTCGGGTTGGATTGCCGGGTCGGGCAAAGTAGTAGGTACTAGGTTTCTAAAAATTGTCAATAGTAGCACGGAGTCTGGAATTGTGCTCGGTATATGGCAATAAGCTCACACTATTACATGGGACTCATAACGTAAATAGTGAAAAGTAGGTGTTACATTGTACAGTGGCATTAAGTGCCGTAATGTGCACCTCTGCCTATGCCTTCGGGGATGAAAGGCGTGATGATATGTATGAATTTAGGTCAGCTAGGATATCTTTGGGATTTTGTCGTTATTTGACTTTGTTACTGTTATGTGACTATGCCTTGACTGTATTTTGATCCCTTGTGCCGTGGTTTTCACTTCTAGGATTCACTTTTACACTAGGATTTTCTCCTGTGTCGTGTGTGCGTTCACAAACATACAAGTTCACATACACATCACACCCAGACCTGAAACAACAAAATTACACTAGAACATGCAAGTTAAGGTTCAAAATACTTGGGCGTTCAGTGCTTCTCAAATCATCATCATGTTTTTTTAGTGACGACACTCGATCAATGACTTCTCCCGCCTTGGGTGAGGCGTGAGGGAATGTCTGAGTCTTCCTGGCTAAATATCACCCCGTTCCTAAAAGTGCTTCGAGCCGGAGTAACCAGCTAAGTCGTCCGGCTGGAACACGCGGAGGGGCTTACCCCTCGTTCGGTCAAGTAAAAACTCGGTTCCATCAAAGATGAACGCTTTTTTGTCACTGCTGTTCTTTTGAGCTCCTATTTTCAATAGAAAGATATTCAATAAAAATATCGAATTAAAAATTAATACAAAATAAATAAGCAATGTGGTGAACCGCAGAACGTAAGCGCACACTTTCATTTTAATATAAAAATACTAACATTTTATTGTACCATCAAACTTGTTATACATTGCGCGAGCAACTATTTTTATATTTGTAATCCAATAAAATGATTACAACTATTTTATTGACAATAAACATTGGAATTGTTACTGATTTTTAACAAGCTAACAATCATCAACTGTACATAATTTTAAATCAATCTTCTTTTGAAAAACGGCTTTTTAAGTCACTTGCAACAGCGAAGTGTTGCCACACTTAAAAAATAATTTCGAAACAATGATTTAAAAAAGTTTAATCTATTAGGCTATTTTCATACCAGCTACCATAAATATGAAATCAGTTCTATTTGTTTCATAATTTACGTTAAAGTGTATAATTCGCTATGAAAGTAATATTAATAACTTTGTTTCTAAATTATGAATTGTTCGTCTCTGAAACTGTCCATAAGGGTAAGCATTCAATTCTATTTATTATTTAGACTAAAACATAAAAAAATTAACTAAATTCCCGAGTGGGTGTCATGTGTCGTGTATACCTGGCAAGTGACTACACATTTTACAGAGGCCGGGCATCAGCGCTCTCTGATAAATCTGAACCTCAAGCCTGCTCACGCCAATAACAATGGTATGATCGTCAAACTTTCAAAAA